GACCCTTGTAATTTTGAAGAGAAATAAATTTCCTTCATTTTGATACCAGTTTCATTATTCTAGATCTGGAGAATTTATTTATCAATCAGTCTTGATAGCTGTCTGAATATTTTTACAACTATAAAACTGAAACCCAATTTTGAAAACAAGAGAAATTAAGTGTAGAACACACTTGAAAAGAAACTTTATTATACATCAAGAAAAACTAAAAAATTTTTATCTAGTACTTGAAAGTGACAAGGTTCAATTTTAATGTATCAGATAACAATAAATCTTATTCTTCACCCTTGTATGTTACTTTTTTAAAGATAAAATTTCAGGACAGAAAGTTAAAAAGAAAATGACACTAAATATTTACAGAAACAAATTTAGATCTATTTTCATAAGAGAAAAAATATTTTAAGAGGTTAAAAATGAGGTTTTTCTATGAAATGAATGATAATGTATCTAATCTAGATACCTCCACTAATAATTTGGTATAAATTTTCGATACTTAAAGTTTAAAATGAATTTTTTAAAATTAAAAAGCATTCTGGAAGATTACATTTTAGCCTTAATTGAAAACTAAATAATTAAATTTACTATTTCCAGTAAGGAAAATATTCTGGTGTATTTCAAATAAAAATTATATAGATCGGAATCTCCATGAATTTCTAAATCAATGTGTTTTCACCGGAAAAAAAAAACACAAAAAACGTATTTGTAATTCACATCCACCGATGATGTAAACAAAACTAGATTTTTAACCCAAATTTTGAATGTGCTTGAAAGGATTAAAAACTTTCAAAAATACTTTGGTCTTTCATCTTATTAATAATAATAATAATATAAACATTTTCATGATAAAATGTTTAAGTTTGTGGCTTTTTTCATTATGCTACACTGTTTTTCTATGAAAAAGTGGAGGTACCTAAAACCCTATTATACAAGATTATTAATCAGTCCCCAATTCTCACTCTTGCATGTTCTTTTGAACAGCAGTAGGGGGTCATACCTTGTCTCCTGTATAGGATATGGTTTCTGGTTCCTTCTAAGGAGTGCATCTTCTAACATCTCTGTCTGAAATCTAAAAATTTTATTCATTTTTTTTTTTTTGTTCTCTCTCCTCGATAGGCAAACCTATCTACTCCAATTGCCTGGTTCACACTCCTTTCTGGTTGTTTTAACCGGTGTAGAGGTTTATTCCTGTTAAGGATTCTCAGTTTCTTCTAGAATCTTCTCTTTTACTCCCAGTAGCCCCTGGTATCTTAATGGCATTATCACCTTGCTTGGGATGAAATGATTTAAAAAAAAAAAAATAAATAAATAAATAAAAAAAGACACCATTTATCATTTTTAATGCTTTTTCTTTTTCAGACATATTCCAGTTCGATAACAATTACAGTTGGCTACGCTGTAAACACGTCTTCTATAGAATTACCATCATCAAACCAGATATTGACAACCACATTAGTGAAGATATCATCCTTGACTGAAAATGTCTTATTTTTTCTCTCCTTTGCTGCCTTTTTTTGCCTCAGCTCTACCACTGAGCCTATATTATAATATTTAATACGTGTATACTGTTTGTGTACACACGTGGATCGATGTATATATGTATGCATTTAATTATTGCTTTCTGAGTGTGTAAATTCCAAAATTGTTTTGCAAGAAGAATCATTAATGAACTAATATCCTCATCTTCCATGCCAACCAATGTTTTACCAAAATTGTCTCAAGGAATATTTATTATCTATGGTTAAAACAAAATTGGTTACATCTCCGTTCTATAATTTGTGTCTGAATTTCTGGGATGAGAAGTTATTATTTGCACTATTTATATTCAGACTATTGTCTTCATCTTTGGCTGAAACGTTGTGATAATAACAACAATGTGCAGTTTGGACTTCATCAGGTGTATGTCGATCTGGGTAATCTACAGGGAATTCTGAACTGAATCCTTTATTGAGAAGTTATTATTATTTATATCCAGACTATTGTCCTCATCTTTATTGTCATTATTGCAATGTTTTTTCTGATGTGCTCTCTGGCCTTCAATATTCACAGGACACTAGTCTAGTGGATTAAGGTGTTGGTTCATGAATTTACTAACATAGTAATTGTGAGTTCAATTCCCGGGACAGGGATTGTGTCCTGGAACACACTAAAAATTGGGCAAGCAATAACTGAGCAGTACTAAATAAGAACAAGACAAGATATCCCTGGACATGATCAATAGAATGAGAACAATCTTTTTTTTTAAATCATTTCACCCCAGGCAAGGCAATAAAGCTACTAAGACAAAATGGGGAAACTGAGTGTGAAAGAAGAGGAAAAGAAAAACATTAAGAGAGAATAATAAAAAGATAAAAGATAACGCTTGACATTGCATTTACATTTTTGAAAATCAAAGTTGACTGGGAAGCAAGAATCCAGAAGGGAGTTCCACAAGCAAGAAGTGTGAGAGGAGAAACTCTTAGAATAGAACTTATATTAATTCTAGCCATTTCAACTGTAAAATGATGAGACCTAACTGCCAATCTAGTACTATGCTTAAATTCATAAAGCCTAGGTACTATAGAGGAAAGTTCATCAGAACAATTAGCATGAAAATATTTATAGAAAAATCACTGGGAAGCTACATTATGGCAATGGAAAAGTAAAGCCAAGATAACATTGCAGATTCTTCCTTGGATTTTATTCAGGCATGTTACTCTCATAAATTAAATAAAGGGTTCAGTTTGAAATTCCTTGAAAGTTATCCAGATCAGCAAGCACCTGATTAAGGCTGGAGAACACAATGGCTGAAATTGTGATGAAGATGAGGATATTAGTCCAAATGTAAATAATTTGCATCTTCCAGCTCAACCAATCTTTTACTAAAATGGTCTCAAAAAATATTTATTAATTACATTTAAAAAAAACAAAATTGGTTACATCTCTATTCTATAATTTATCACAGAATTTCTCAAATAAGGAGGTGTTGTTGTTGTTATTATTATTACTCGTTACTTTATTTATATTCAGACTATGAGCACATGGTCAAGTGGTTAGAATGTTTGCATTCTGACCATGAGATCCGGGTTCAAATCTCACCATGGTCAATTTGTCAGGAAGGAGACTTCCTGATGTTATCGGACTGGAGGGTTGATCCCAGCGTGCGTCACCTTTTGGAAAGTGCCTGAAAACATACCATGGGTTGATCCAAGCCTTGTGAGTGAAATTGTTTAGACAGAACCTTTGGGGACCATCGATAACTGTGCTAGCACAAAGTCACAAGTCATCATGGCCAAGGGCTGGAGCATGCTGGTCTTGTTCAAATTGCTGATCACGCTAGATAACACGGTCTTTTCCAGAAACTGTAACTAAGGTCTTCTCAGCATAGTTGCAGTATAAACCACAGGTGGACTCTGTGGAAGTTGAATAAACACAAATGCATCTGAGCAAGCATCTGCAATAGAGAATGGCTAGCCGCCCTGGTAGACAGGTATCCTCGAATACGAGTGACCAGCTATATATATATATATATATATATATATACACACACACACACATTCATTCAAACTAATATCCTCATTTTGGCTGCTATGCCTTACACACTTTTCAGGTTTCCCCAAAGATTAAAAAGCATTGTTTCATTAATTTGGTAGCATAGCAATTGTGAGTTCAATCCCCAAGCTGGGTAGTATAGACACAGACTCTGTCAAAACAGGGACCAGCAATAAGTGAGCAACACTAAAATGAGCACAAGATGAGATATCCCTAGACATGACAACAGTTTACACCAATAGATTGTATAAATGGTTCAAAATTCTCTGAAGATTACCCAGATCAACTAGCACCTGAGGAATGTTGTGAAGCACAATGGCTGAAACATTAGGATAACAACAACAAAAACAAGAAAATTAGTCCAAATGTGAGTAATGTCTATTCTAATAGACAAAAAAAAAACTCCTACAATTTTCTTTTTAGTTGTTGGTATTATTTTAAAAAAAACAAAAGCTGAGAGGTGTTAATTTAAATAGTCCAATCCTAGTTGAATCTTTCATGCAGCATTCTAAAAATATTGGTGCCGTCATTACTAAAAAGACTATTCTGTTCTTTTTGAATAATCTTTAGAGTTTCCATTTTCTATGAATTCTTGTATTAATAAATCTCTAGTTTATTGTATTATAGATTATATTATATTATATTATATTATATAATACATAATATTGTTATTATATTGTTATTAATAACAATACAATGTTAATAGAATGACATGGTGATGTCTTTACAATTCTGGCAGTCAATATTTGGATTTTGAAAAATCACTTAAAATTGAAGGTTGTGTGCCTTTGTCAAAGCTAATTTACTAGTTCACTTTGGACCTCACGAAGAGAAAGTCCCTGAAGGATTTTTTATTATTATAATAATTATAATAACAATGGTGGAGTAATGGATTCTGGCTTGGATTGAGAAATCAGTGGGGCCAAGTTCAAATTCCAGTCGAGTTCATTATATTCACTTATGTGCTAATACTCTTGAGGAACATATGAATCCATCTCTTCTCACCTCCCCCACCTCACAGCTAAGACTGGGTTCTTTAGCCTTGGGTGGTAACTAATCTAGGATAAATAAAAAAAAAAAAAAAATCTGAATTCAAATTCTTGTAGGTTTTGCCTCCTTAGGCAAAGGTTAGAAGGTAACTTCAAAAAAACAAATCCAACTCACATGTTGTCCCGAAAAAAGACCCCTACTCCAAACCACGACAAAGAAATAATGGACTTCTCGGATTTAGTACAATGGTTTGAATCTGAGGACATGGCACATCATCATGAAACTTCGATTCTGGACCGTTTGCCCATGAGTGTATCTCCCACGGCAATTTAGACCACAATAATAACAATTATGATAATAATAATAATAATAATAACAGAAAAAAACTCATTACTGCATATAGTTTTCTTCTCCTTTTGTCTAATCTACCAAATGCTAATGTTGGGGTTGGCAGATTTTAAATTTTAGGTACCCCATCTTTAAAAAAATTGAATGCCACTCAATTATCGGTTAAATTTTTTTTTAATCATTTCCTCCTACCTCAAGCAAAGATAATAAAGCCACAAGGGGGTTACTTCAACTGAAAGAAACTGAGGAAACCTTATTAGAGAGAGAGAAAGAGAGGGGGTAAATAAATGACAATAAAAGACAAGGGTTCAAAGAGATAGAAAATGACAACTGACATAGCATTAAAATTTTTGCTAATGGTTAAATAGTTTTCAGCTACCTTTAACATAAGGAAGAGATAGTTGAAATTTCTAGGGAACATAATGAGGAAAGATGGCTTGGAAAATTTGATACTTACAGGACAGATTGAAAGCAAGAGGGACAGAAAAAAAACAATGCATAACCTACTTAGTGAGCTTGAGTAAATGGATGGAGGAACAGGGTGTAAGAGAAATAACAAAAAAGATACATTTATTAAGATCTAGAAAGGATAGGAAATTGTAGAGAGCCATGATCACCTACATCCCAATGAGACATGACACATTAAGAAGGAGCTTGGTGGGAGTTAATTAAACCAAAGAAAGTATGAAACAGACTAATAATAAAATCCAGAGGATGGCTCCCAACCTTGTTTGCAAATGTAAATTCAAGAGTGTGTGTGTGTGTGTGTCTGAAGATAGTTAGATATGGGAGTCCATTATTGATATTTGGGGTTTGTGCAAAAAGAAACTACAGCAAGTTCACATTTTACTGTGAACTGACAAATTGGAAAATCTAACAGAAAAGAATTTTATTTCAAAAGAAAAAAGAAAAACTTTGTTTATACATGTTTTTATTTATTTTTTTTATTTTTTGGTTTTGTTTAAATAAGTGACCTTTTTGGATTTTTAACCAAAGAACTTCAACTTTCTTTTCTAAAACTGTTTTCCAAAACGTGTGTGAGTTATAAAAAAAAAAAAAAAAAAAAAAGTACAGAAACGTTCTTATCCCAAGCAAATAAAAAAAAAAAAAAAAAAAAAAAAATAATATTCACCCCTGTCCCCCAACTGTTCAACACACTCATATTGTTTCTCAAGTGTGTATAATCCTTCTTAACAAAATTCTGTTATTTGGCCATTAAAATGTTTATTTTTTGAAGTGGAACAGACCAAGGAAAAAAAAATATATATATATGTGTGTGTGAAAATATATAGAAAATAGGAAAGAACTCATAAGGTAAATAATCCAAATAATCAAGTTTCTAAATAATGAAAATTTATTAAACAATAGACATGAGTTAACGTTTTTTTGCCGACATCATCAAATTTTCGCATTGAATAATTAGCATAAAAAACAAACAAACAAACAAACAATTAAATAATAAATACAAATTTTAAACTCCATAGTCTAAATAAAAAGTTTAAAAGCCCCCCACCCCAAACCCTTTAAGTCGTCAAAAAAAACAAATGTTAGCTAATTATGACAGTTTTATATATACAAAACCCTTTCAGGAAAGAAAATAAAAAAAAAA